AGTCAGCTCTCTTGGCATGAAAAAAATGTAAGTAGTAAAAAACAGAAAACACTATCAATGTAACTTTTACATTTCATTTAATTGACAAGAATGCACAGAGTTACTTAAATTACCCCTTACATTACATTTCATGCTTTCCTTCAATCACCTGAGTATTAGAAAGGAGAGGAGTGTATTTGTGGGTCAAAATTATCATAAGAGCAAGCACTATAAAATTAAACAATTTATTAATTTGGTTTATAATACAACACAGTTATTGAAATGTATTTGCTTCAGACACTGTGTTAGCCTTTGGAACAACAAAGATGACTAGAAATGATGCTTACCTGGCTTTTATTGGAGCAGGTGGGGTTGGCATTTTGGAAAGGGATGGAAAGCAAATATTGCAAGGCCTATATGAGAAGCAAGTACAACATGTGTGGTATGAAGAGGAAGGAGCAAGGGGTAATGAAACGCTCAATAAAGTCTCCTAAAATTCATAATAATTAGTGACTTCTCAATAGGAAGAAAGTGTAGGCATATTAGGAATATCAGTCCATCTGCTGTCTGGTATATCCCTAGAGACAAAGAGTACAGTGTGCCATTGGCTTCAACTATGGGTGATAGAGGCTGCGAATGCACCAGGCTGGCATGAATCTGTAGGCTTCAGTGAAGGGAAAAAAAGCACAGGAAGGAAGATATGGCCGGCCCTCTCTTATCATTCAGATTTCAGCCTCCCTGCAGGTGGGTGGCCTTCCCTGGCTCCCCAGTACCATGCTGCACAGGCCTCTCACTACTCTGTCTGGGCCTACTCATAGTGAATGTTTTCATTTGTTTAAGTTGTTTATCGTTCACCTTCCTCACAGGATGGCAAGTTTCAAGAGAGCAGGGAACTGCATTTCTAGCCCCTAGAACACCTGGTATACAGCAGGCACTCGATAACATTGCTCAGTGGTGAAATTAGATCAACAAGGAAAAAGAGAGCAGGAGAATGTAGAGAGTAGTCCACACAAAAAAGAAAGACAGACAGGAATAGTGAACTATAAAGCACTGTCTCAGATCAGAGGTCCGCCAGGGTACCCGTCCCTCAGCCCCAGAAACCATTCCCTACCAAAAAGCTCAAAAGGAACATTTCACAAGGACTATGCTTACCACATAGTCTACACAATGCAGAAGCTTGTCAGATTGGAAGGCTGAACACTGACTGCATTTTACACATCCTGCTATCTCAACAAAAAGTGAAAAAAGATACATTTTAACGGGGGATATTATAATTGAAAGCTTATTCAAGTAAGTAGATTTTTCAACAAAATATTAATCTGGCCAATAATCATATTTATAAGAAAGAAATGGAGAATTATTATGTGAGCCATAAGTTCAAATTCCTATCCTGAGTATTTAAATATTTTTTCTAAACATCACTATATTAATCTGCCTTTTTTGCATTTTACTGCTGTTACTGTTCAAAATTCAATCTCCTAGACAAATGGCAATTCAAGAACACATTCAAATTCCAGTGATATATTATTCCCATGACTACAAAGGTATATTTGCCCATTCAGACTTTTTTCATTCAATAGCTGTTATATATCTCTGAATATAAAATACACACTCTGCTTTCTCAACTATTATAACATACAGCAATTCCTACAATCCCTCATTCTTCCTCTGAATACACTTAAAATATACTTAAATTTAAATTAAATCACACAGAAGAGTTATTTACACTATTTTGACATAACTTGAATATTTTATTTTATTCAATGTATCTTATAGGTTAAAAGTAAAATGTCATGAGCCTCATTATTTAAATTCCATGTAGAAAAACTACTGTTGCCTGAAATATTTTGACAGCACTGCACATAGTATTACTGTCCTGAAAATTTAAATATCTTTTGGTATTATAGCTCCCCTACATTAGGAGGAGTTCTTCCAGTTTTAATACCTTTTTTTCTATTTCACTTTTAGATATATGAATCCAGCAAAGGGGAAATAATGAACTTCTAAGGAGGAAAACATAAATGCTCTTGCATATAAACCATTTCCTCTGAACAGTTTATAGATTCAGTTTCAATAATAATAGTTTTTTTTCAGCTTGACAACCCAGCCACCACCATTGATGGATATACTCTTTAATGAGTCAGCAATTGAGTAAATTTCTTTAAGTGATTCCAAATTCCATCCTCCAGAATAGATGGTTACTGGTTATTGCTTAGTTTGTACATACTCAGTGAAGCCAATATACACACTCCTGAAAAGGGAAGAGACCACCTACATGACTCTGGGCACGTCCCATAAACCTGGAAACTACCAGCCACTAAACAGGCTATGTGCGGGTTAGGTGTGGCAATACATACAAGAATGTCCTGAAAACTATAAAAAGCCATATACACGCAAGATTCCTATTATTACTAGTAATGACTAAAAAGTGCAACATGTCACTGATTTATCTTTTGCCTTCTGTGTAAGATTTGAACCACAAGGGGGGAAAGTGCAGAGACTGAAGACAGACACCTCTTCTCATGCCCGGGTTATCATAATCGCTTCCTAATCCGTCTCCCCTGTTTGTGCACTTGACACCTTATAATCTGTTCTCCGTATGCAGCAATCATAATAAGCCTTTAAAAATAAGGCTGTTCATATCACTCCTCTGCTTAATACCCCTCCAAGGCTTCTCATCTCCGTCGGAGTAAAAGCCAAAGTCCTTAGGCTGGCATGCCAGGCCCTGCAAAAGCAGTCTCTCTGCCCCTACTCCATCTTCTCCCTCCCCCCCCTCCCCCCCGCGGATGGCCCTCCAGGCACAGTGGCCTTCTTGCTCTTCTTTGCACAGGCACACCCCAATTCCAAGTCTTTGCACTTGCTGTTTTCTCTGCCTGGAATATTCTCACCCCACGAATCCATGTGGTTTCCTCTCTCACTCGCCTTCAAGTCTCTGCTCAATTGTCACCTTCCTGATAAGGTCTAAAACTGCAACCCTACCCATACTCCTGGCATCCCCAGCCCTTTTCCTCCTCCAAAATAGTTCCTTACAGTATGACCTGCTCTACTTATTACTTTGCCTAATTTCTGACTGTGAGCCCTTTGCGAGTGGGGATTTGGGTATGCTTTGTTCACTACTGCACCCCCAATGCCTAGCGCACTGCCTGACACATAGCAGCGCATCAGGAAAGTTGTTAGAGTAACAGATAAGCAAATTTCACATCATATACACATGCGAGCTACCTGTAAACTACAACACAGGGTGGAGCAAAAGTAGGTTTACAGTTGTGAGTATGCAAAACATAGTTCGTTTCTTCTATTATTATTTATTAATTATTGTATTATTTTCCATACAAAACAACTGTAAAGCTGCTTTTGCCCCCACCCAGTATTCTAACAAACTCTGTTGAACTCATGTTAAGCTAAAAGAAGGGAGAACATGATCTCACTCATATGTGGAATCTAATGAACAAAATAAACTGAACAAAATAGATCCAGAGACATAGAAGCATGGAACAGACTGTCAAATCTCAAAGGGAAGGAGGGGGCGGGGGGGGGGCATGAAAGAGATCAACCCAAGAACTTGTACGCACATATGCATAACCCATGGACACAGACAATAGGGTGGTGAAGGCCTGGAGTGGGAGCCTGAGGCAGGCTAGAAGGAGTCAATGGGGGAAAACGGGAAATATTTTTTAAAAAGAGAAATATTACACAAATAATCACAAAATAAAATAAACTAATATGTGCCAAGTGTATCAGTAAACTGGCATGGCTTGGCCAGAGTGGCTCAGTGGTTGAGTGTCAACCTATGAACCAGGAGGTCACCATTTGATTCCTGGTCAGGGCACATGCTGGGGGTTGTGGACTTGGTCCCAGCAGGGGCATGCAGGAGGCAGCCGATCAATGATTCTCTCTCATCACTGATGTTCCTATCTCTCTCTCCTCCCTTCATCTCTGAAATCAATAAAAAATATATTAAATAATAAAAATAAACTGGCATGACATTCAGGAGAGTTCCAATATATTCATGACATATTTGTTTAACCAAATATCACTGTATCATTAAAGAACACATTTCAAATCCATCTTTTTTATAACTTCAAAAAACAAAAGACGGGGACCATTTAATGCCAAACACATTTAATAATTAAATTAATTATATATGCTTTTGATTCTACTCAATATGAAATCAAGATTGCCACAAAAACAAATAGGAAATTCCAGTACCTCCACATTTTGCTCCCACAAACTCATAAAAACAAAGTTTGTATTTTGGCCATTACACTCTCTTAGCTTACTGATCAATCACAAATAGCTCAATGTAGGCTGTTTTCTCAGGAAATGTGGGCTCCTAGGAACAGGAGTGGGGAACCCACCATCCTTCACCTGGCTAATTCTGGGCCTCACTCATCTGGAATGCGAAGAAAACAATCTCTAGCTGCCTTTCAAGTACTGAAGGCAAATAAAGCTAATATTAGAAAAAGACACAACGATGTCTTCTAGGAAGTTAATATCTTGCAAACAAGATCTGGCAAATATATAATGTTAAGCTAATTAAGACCTGGTATCAAACATACTTTGATGCCACTTTATCTCAGTGGCCATAACGAAATAGAAAAGCGCAGCTGTCGTTCGTTCGTACGGTGTTTGATCCCCAAAATGTGTTCCTTCCCTTCCCTAATATCCTGCGGCTCCGATGACCTTTATGTAACAAGTTAGGTACTTGAACTGTTTCTTGTATATCCATATTGTTTCAACATAAGAGCTCCTTAAAGGCAGAAACCCTCAATTAATAAATACTCAATTGGATGAGGATAGATCCCTGTTTATAACATCATCTAAGAAAAACAAGCAAACATGGCTTCTTAACAATGGGAAGCAGAGGTGAAAAAAATAGTCTAATTTACCTCTCCCTTTCCCCAAGGCAAGGGAGGGAGGTGCAGTCTGTGTATACAAGGGAGAGAGAGGAAGGTACTATAACAGAGTACCAAAAAATTCATTTAGCACCTGAACGTATTTTAAAAATTGTACCACATTAGCACAGCAGTAAATTTTTTCTAGTTAAAATGAATACTGCATGGGGAAAGAATTATCATTGTTAGCTATTTACAGTGTGCCAAGAAGGATACCCAGGGAAATGCACAAACTACACCCAATGGGCTTAAAAACTATATGAAATATAGTTGTATTGTGCCTAACATCATAATAAAAACAATTATTCTTAGCTATGGATAAATATATTTCTATTCCACACATATGGAGATATGCATGTTTTGACAATTACCTATAAATAATTCAAGCTAATTCCCAAAGATTTAATCCATGTTGAAATGTGTCCTTTATAAAGCTGATAGCATACTTGGCAGAAAAGCTCAGTAATGAAGGGTCATACTTTGAAAATATGCATATGAAGCTACATTTCTCTTTTCTG